AAAAAAACCAACAACCTGCAAGCAGATGCGCCGGTGTTCCGGGTTAACGTTAATGAGTGACCGCGTGAACTGAAGTGGAACACGGGGGGGGGGGCGCTGCATGTTTCATCACATTACGTTTTTTTCCTCCTAAATCGCGATACTGGCAAACGTTAGCAGTCGTCAAAGTTCAGCATGCAGTGGGAGTTATCCTTAACCCGGCAAGTCTGAACAGTAACGGAACATAACGTAATTTAGACTTTAACGGAGGGAAATGAAGACGCTGTAGACATCTTAACGCTGATTGGCCAAGACTTTGCGAAGATCACGACATCACCTTTTCTCCTCATTTCACTCCAATCTGAGAAACGCTGGCTGGCCAGTCAACTTGAACGAGCGAGCACTGAGCGTGCAGGGCCTGTGACAGCCCCGTGCATACTTCAGTTCAAACCAGCAGGAAACATGGCTTTCTAAAGCCAACTGCTAGGGGCAGCAGAGACTTTATAGTACAACACATAACTCTCTGTAACAACGGATAAATCAAGCAAGATATATCTAGTTCATTCATGAGCTTTAGAGGTACAGGTACACGGATGTTGTTACTTTTGGACAAGGCCAAGTAAGTCTTGTCCCCTTGTTTCCAGTCTTTGTGCTAAGCTAAGCTAAGCTAACTCCTTCTGTCTGTAAGGTAACATTCACCCGACAGGGTACGTCACAGAGTTGTTTTTTTGTTATTTCTGTCTGTTTCTTGGAGAAAACGTTTTTAGAATCTTTAAAAAAAAAAAAAATAAATAAATAAATAAATCGGGTGAACGCCAAAAGACAGGAACAGTCAGATTACACCAGTGTATGTTAATACAGTGTGATTGGACTTTCCCTCTTCTCAGCTGACCCAATCTTCTGTCAATATTTGTTTGGTAAAAGAATGCCATAAGTGTAACAATAATCAATGTCAAGTAAAGAAACAACATCTTACCAGGGAGTAAAATCCCAGAGGAGATACATTCAAAGATACGTCTCAGAGCATCACCTGGGCTGAGGGGGGCCGAGGCACTGCTGATGGCCTTCTCTACCAGCAGCTCCATGGCCTGAACACAGGGAGGATATGGCTTAGACACCTGGCGCGCACGCGCGCACGCACGTGCGCACGCACGCACGCACGCACGCACGCACGCACGCACCTTGCATTACATTAGTCAGTTTTCAAAGCAAATCAACAATAACTTGTGGGTATTTTGTGTAAAGGGGCAGTAAAATAAGACATGGGGACACAGGCATGCAAATCGTTCTGCTAAAAACTACTTTCAGTTCTGTAGCTGTTATAAGTCATATTTTTTTTTTTTTATTTACAGAAAGGCCTTCCCAGAAGAAGATTTTCTTTTACTCTCATGAACTCTAGTCAGTCACACAGCACCACGGCTGCATTCACACCGAATGAGGCGCCGCAGAGAAAACGCCAGTCCTCCCAATTCGTTTGAATGTGGATGGTGCGTTTGACCTGCAGTGGTGGGAAACAAACCCGACGTCACGCTGCTGTGATCCAGAACTGTACAACACAGCCATGACGGAACAAAAGAAGCTGATCGCTGTGCGGGTCACCGAGTTAACACTCCCACACCGCCCTGCGTTAAACGACCCCAACGCCCAATTCGGCCGTGAATGCAGCCTTAGAGGCGCGTTCTAAATACACTTACCCATCCCGGGAAGGGCGACCACGTGGGGACTCGCTGGCAGAGGTCTCGCAGGATCCGGATGATGATCACGCAGGACTGAAGGCCGTTGGCTCTAGCCTTTTGATGCAATAAAGTTAGTTTTTACAAGTGACAAGGAGGGACAAGAGATGGACCAAACAAGTGAATGAGTTCTCTCACAGAGGTCCAAACACTACTGTGCATAAATGGAAGCTGGAGTATGGTTTTGAGGAGTGTATGTATGAGCCATTAAAGAGCTTGCAATCAGCTGCCATTCCCAGTAGTCTTGTACCTCACAGTTAGTAAAAGAGAGTTCAAAGTTTGCAAGATGCACAAGAAATGAGAACTTGTCATCTTCTAAACCCTGACCCCTGGGTTTGTCCAGGTATCTCACAAACAGGTACTTTAAAAAATAAAAAAAAAGTACAAGAGTCCACCTGTGAGCAGAGTATAGGGACTGAGAGAGCAGATGAGATCTGCCTTACTTTGCCTGTGCTTTTGCTCGGCGAGCAAAATCACAGGAAACTACTCAGATGTTCCTTTGTCTCTCAATCCCTATTCTACTAAATATATATAAAGAGAGAATAAAAACAATACAAACGTGTAACATGAAAGCACTTCTTGATGGCACAACTTTGTGCAAGTTATTGTGCAGCCTTATGGAATCACATGGAACTATAATGCAGTACTTAGAAAATTGGGAAGAGAATACAAGGATGCCAGGAGTTTGCTAGAGTATGTGTTTTGTTTTTTTTCATGCGAGTTTCAAATGAACTTAAGCTTCACAATCGATACATGTGGACATTAACCAGATCTGTGTTGTAATATGTGGCATCCTTGAATATGTTTTTTTTCTTACTTCAAATAGTAATAATTTTCCTCATTGCTATGAAATCAAAAAACCCAAATGTGTGAAACACAAATAAATGACTAAACAAGTAAATAATGCATCTCATAAGGCTACAATAAGAAAGTAAAATGATGTTCCGAACCTGGAACCACTTAGCGTGGCGCAGAGCAGCCAGAGCGTCAAGGCATTTTTGCCTGTCCAAGACGTCCGCTGGGTCTTTCACCATACCCGAGGTTACATCTAAAAATGGATTTGAAGTGTCAAAAGAATTTCGTGGTGATGAGGAATGGGTGTTTGACCAGGTCAGCGAGGCTGGCAAAGAACAAACACATTGCCACACATACCAATGTCTCTCTCCATGACAACCATTACAATTGGTTGCCTATGTTCCGATTTAAGACATTGAAAAGCTGACTAACCAACACATTGTTCATCTATATCCACTTTGACTGTGTACGGCATGTTAAGTCCTCATAGGGGTAAGGATTTACTCACTCAACACTGACAAATAGATGTGGTTGGAAAGCACCAATCTAGCTAAATGACATGGTTTCAGGCTCACAAATGTTTTGAAGCCAATACTATTCTATCAGGTGATCTTAAAGCTTACCATTACCTTGGTAAGCACTGGGACAGAGAAGGGATTCTATGGCTATTAGTATGAACTTGGTGCGGAAATAAAGAGAGGGCAAATGGCTAATCCTGATTTTTAAAAAGTGGCATGGCAATAGTATGTGTGGCAAAGTTTTTGGGATGTGAGAAAACCTTGGTCAAAAATCCTTCCGGAAGCGGTTGGGCCCGACTAATAAACCTCTGAGACAACAGACTCGAAATATTTGTTTTTGTTCCAAGGAAATTAAGGAGTCTTTGTGCTGGACTTGTAAATATTACTATGGATACAAAGAGGAGGAAGCAATGGGTGCTGAAGAAGAGAAAAAAACAAACATGAGAACTACCAGCAAACAAAAGGGGTTAGGATTTCACTGCATGCATACCTAACATCAGTAGGTAGGAATAAGACCTCAACAATCATTGTATACCAAGAGGCTGAACTCGGGTCCATCCAAAGATTCCTCTGTCGTAACCTTCTGCACCTGAACTTTTAACGATACTCCCCAAAGAATCATTTGGTTCATCTTCATCTTTCCATGGTCAATTCATTCTAAAAGAGAAAATGCTCCTTCTTTAAATATTTTTTTTTCTGATCTTTCCATTGAAATCAAAAGGACAAAAGCTTGTCAGAGGCTTGTCATTTTTTGAGTCCTATGTGTGTGAAGGAATGTCAACTCAGGGGAGCACTTCAGAACAGGGGACTTCAGCATGGCGAACGGTTGTTCACCGGTACACAAAAGGAAGATTTGTTTCCTGTGGGAATGTAACATCCAATTTCCTCTGCCAAATCTGGATTTGAGATAAAAAGGGTTGCATGAAGTCAAATAATCAATTCCAAATTAAACTTGAGGAACATAAGGGCCTGCTGTTGTCTATTTAGTCAGCTTCTGCAGGAATTGTCTTTTGTCTCCTCATCTCAAAAGGAAATTTGGAGAAACGATACTGTAATGCACGTCTCCCATTGGTTATGGCGAACGGTAAAATGGAAACAGAATCCCCTGGAACACAGGAAACAAAAGAGAATCTCACCTGGGATTAACTAGACTTAACACAATGCAAACACTGGTCATGCTTAGTTTAAAAAGGATAAAGAGAGCATTTGAGAGGTAAGAGCAAAAAAAGCCTAAGAGCAATACTGCTGGCACTTGCCTCTTCTTTTCATTTTACACTAAAAGTGATCTGCCCCACATCATTAGTGAGGGCTGTAATTGAGAGAAATAACATGGGCCCCCACCTTGGCCAGTAAAAAAAGATTATCTCAAAAAAGAAAAAGAAAATTCTACTCAATAGTTTAGTTGTTGAAAGAAAGGTGGAGTTAAAAATGAAATTTGTGCAGGCCAGAAACTGAGCACAACGGACCCTGAAGGAACGAGACCACATCTAACGATAGCAAATGTGACGCGCTTGCGCTTCCTTGGTTGCCCTGTCCATTTCTGATTTCTAAAATCCAAATGAATCATACACGAAGAGCAAGAGTGCCAGGGTAATCGGATTGGAATGCTTTGTGGAGTGCCAGCAGGACAGCGCTCTTCAGGGCGTCGACAAACATACCGAGACTGATTTCATAGAGAGAGATAGCAGAGAGACAAGAGAGGAGGTGCAATGGGGAGGGCTGTGATTTGGGGGGGGGGGGGGGGGGGGGGAGACATAGTGTCC